CAGCAACTCCCCATACCCTTGGTTGTCTAGAGAACCCCACTGCAACCTGGGCACAGTGAGAAGTAAGAATAATAAGGAATATTCTAGCATCAAAGACATTAATGGCTGCAACTTAGTGAAGTCCTAATTTTCCAGCAAGGCAGTATAAATGTCATGTATTAATGGGATGTTTATGGATGGCAGTTTTGTCTAGAATGGGGTTTGTTTAGACCTCAGTAAAAGGCACAATGCTGTCCTGTCAGTAAGCACTTTTAAGCTTGGGTTTGGGATGCTCTGTATCTCTTACTAAGCTCTAAACGACCGAGTTAAATTTCAGCCTTACCCAACATGATCTGCATGGCATTTCTGCAGAAGCTGCTGGGTAAAACAGTACCTCCTTGGAAATTTACTACACACAACTCTTGGTTGAGTGTGCACTTGAGAACTCCATATATAGGACTGTTTCTGAAGGAAGGGTGTGAACTGCAGATTATCTCATAGATAATGAGATAATAATAATAACCTTTTTATTATGATACAACAGTATTCCAATCTTTTTTTCTGTTTAGGTATTTCTAAACAATATTTACTTACAGTGCAAAGCAGTCTCCATTTTTTAAAAAAGTGTTAACATTTATCCCTATATACTTTTTAGAAGACATTCTTATTACCACCTCCAAATTTCTAGTTTGCAAAGTTACTTCACAAGTGTTGCATTCAGTATTGAAACTCATGGAAGAATTCTTATTCCTACTTCCAGAAAAGCCAAATAATACAAAAAATCAGGACACTCTTTTGCATTTAGACTTAGTAGATTTTTTTTGCCCCCCACAATTTTTCTCTGTAAGTGGAGATTCAACACTTATAATAAAAAACTCAAGAATCATGCATATCTCATGCAATTCCACAAAAACTTTAAGGATTATGGACTCTAAAATTCAACCTTACACCCTCAGAGTTCATGACACTATGTGCAATACCTTCTTGCACTTTGTATGAATAATCTCTGCATCATCCAAATAGATGAAAGCTAACATCAGCACTACATCCAGCTGCCCTCTCCTACACACAGACTTCACTTTCTTCAGATGCTTCTTATTTATACACTTGCAGGACCTACAAGAAGTTTCCAGAGAGGAATGTTTACACACTTAAACACTGATAAGCACATGGGACTTAGAGAACCCATATTTCCAAAACTTATTTAGGCACTTAGAACCTCAGAATCATTCAGCAAAGCAAGATTCAACTTTCAGAGAGAGGCTGTGGTTAAGCAGAGAAAATGAGATTGAGAAGTATGCCCCTTAATGTGACTTGAAAAATTTTACCTACTTCTTCTTAGGAAATGCAAATAATCTAAACTGGGAAGCCATGCTTTCAGTGTGCAGTTTCAGAATTATTTTAATCAACCTGAAGTGCCATAGAAACTTCTAAAATAAATATACCTGTCAGTACCTCCTTTTTCTTTCTCACATGATCTGTTCTCCCATGCAGTGGCTCACATCTAAAAAAATCTCTTTATGGTTACTTAATCCTAAACTCGCTCTTAAGAAATAAGTTCAGAAACTCTGGTACTGATTTAACAGTATGTTCCAATCTCATTAGGGAAGGAAAAAAACAATACCTTAGGGATGTACTGGTAATAAACAAATGCCAAAATGGATTAAACAGTATTTCCCCTCTGTGGGTATTAATCAGTTTGAGCATCTTTTTACTATTGTGTATAAAACAGAAGTCATCCACTGTATATACCTGCCTGGTTTATTATTCCTATTTATCATTCCTGGGTATATCTTAGATCTATTACCCGTATTTCTTCCTGTGTTTCTAGGATGTGAAACTAGTCTTACTCAGTGGTCAGTCTTTTAAAATACTGTTTACATCCCAAACTCTTTTCTAATTCTGTTCTATACCTCTGATTTTGCTCTTCCTTATTTAAGAAGCAACATATACTTTTAGAAAACTAACAGAAAACACCACCTCAAAAGTTACATGCTCTTCTTCTCTGAGGAAGAGGATGGAAGGACAAACAAGGAATAACAAGGGTGTTATTCTGCCATTTAATGTCCCACTGAAAAGTGGTTTGTTAAGTTGAAAGGTGGTGTACAGGAGCCTACACAGAAGGTATTAGCATGGCTTTATTTATTGCTTCAAGAGTAGTCATTAGAGAGTATTGCTAAGGAATAATTACCTAGAAAACAAGTAGCTCAACGTGAGACCTTCTGATAATGGAAAGTTAATTTTGGGCCTACAAATTCACAAAAGCATAAAAAATGTGTGTTAATGATAACCTGGCAACTATCTCTCTGTTCTTTAGAATCTATATATGTTATTACCATCTTGACTGCAGGAAAAGGTTTATGCAGGCATTCTGGCATACAGCTCAGGTGAACGTGGCACACAGGTTTTGCATAACTGAGCTAGGGGCTCAAAGCTCAAAACCTTTTCTAAATCACACCCCTAATGGCATCTGAGAGTTGTGACTGGCAGTGCATATCATGTATCATATGCAAAGGGTTCAGACATTAGGGATTTGCAGAACCACAGTAGCCCATGTTTGAGACAGTCACCATGGCTACAGTGGTAACTATTTATCCTGGAGCATGCTTATCTATCCCTCTGACACTTAGTTTGATTCAATTTATTTTGGCCAGTGCAGGATGCTGAAAAGCAGCACAACAGAAGATTTGAGACTTGGCACTTGGGCTGAAAAGAATGTAATTCAATGGGATCAGTCTCACTTATCTTGGCCATCTTAAAAAACAGATGTCTAGTCTAAGTTTGCCATCTGTGGTCACTGAGAAAGTTAAGCACACTCAAATATCTAGGCAGCCTCATACTCTTTCTAAAGCAAAGGAGACAAGTGCCTGAAGTGCTTACCTGTCCTCCAGTTTTCAAAAGAAACTAGATTGTTGGAATGCCAAAGAGGGCCAGACAGCTGAAGGCGCTGCTGCAGCCAAGGTAATCAGCATATCCCTCTTGAATCATGTTAATTCCACTGCCTCCTTGCTAGCCAGGCAAGACACTTGTTTCTCTGAAATCCTCCCTTCTCTTTTTGTCCAAATTAAAACACGTTCAGCCTCTCTCTGCCTTTGGAAACTAAAATCCCTGGAGCAAACAGCTGTTTTAACATCTGCCTCCACTGATCCTTTTGCTAAGGCTGCCAGCAAAGTTGCCACTTTGCATCACATGTTACACTGGGCTCTCTAATGTGAACCCCAGCCCAGAGGGAAGCAGACTGAGATGCCTCGCGCTGTTTTCAGAGGCCATCTTGTTGCTACAGTGACACAGTGACGCCAACCTGGACCACAGATAACTGGAGGTCAACCTTTCTAAGCCACAGGAGCAAGTTAGCATCTGCAGAGGTGAACAATCCATTGCCTATGACTGAATTGCTGCATTCCTCAGTTTCACTGTTTCTCTTGCTTTCAAGCATGATTAACAGCCAAGCCACAATAGATCAATCGTGTATGAGATTAAATATTTCACAGATTTTTGTTGTATGTCTGCTCAAGCATTGTAAATTAATAATGTTGTTAAGGAGTAACTCCTATCTGCACAGATAAATTTGGTGCTTGTGGAAGGAAGCTAAAAACATCCCATGGACTGTTAATGCAGACTTTACCCAAATCCACCAGTGATAACTTGCACTGTGGTCTTTTCCCTCTCTAAGGATGTGAGTGCCTGCTGTGTCACTGCAGCAGTTTTGCCTTGCAAGAAGAGTAAGATCAGCCCTTTAACCCCAGTTATTCTTTAGATATAAGCAGCCATGTCAACAGTATATGCTAATTAGAACAACAACAGGAATTATTCACTATGTCACATACAGTGTGCTAAGGGAAGGAAAGTGGAGGTCTTTTGGAGAGCAGAACCCTGACCAAGAGCAGGACATAGCATGCAAGACGATGGAATTATTAACAGAAGCAAAAGCCAATCAACTACTCCTACTGGTTGAGGCTGCTGCACACTCAGCATCTTCAATTCATCCATAGCCTCTCCTGTCACTGGCACCCTCAATCCTACAGCATTATGAATAATGTATTACCTTGAGGGTAAGGAACCAACTGCCTCTGAGTTTGACAAGCTTTTTTAAGCTTCTTGTTTTGTTGCTAATTTAAGCATGTTCCTATTTCCAATACTACACATGCACAATTTTGCAAAAGACCACCAGAATCCAGAAAGGAAGCCAGAAGCTCTGAGACTGCATTGGGACAGGGAACTAGCTCTCCTCAGCAAGCTCTGAGCACTCAGCAGAAGTGAGGCAGTGGCCTGAGACTAGAAGAGGAAAACTCAGAAGACGCCCTAAGTTTACAGTGCTGCTTCTGGATTATAGACTCCTTGACAGGACCGTCTGCATGAAGCATGTACATGTGACAGCCTGTGGCAGCTAAAGAATCAGAAAGCTGTCCAGCAATTTAACCTGCCCCAACAACCAATGCAGGTCTCAGACTCATTTACAATTCCACACAGCAGTTTTGGGCGCTATTTTTTTTTCCATTCATTTTTAAATTGCCTGAGAGAAGGATCTATTCAGAGCAAGAAATATACAATATGAAATTGGTTATCACAGTTTACATCTTAGTGCAGGGCTGATACTTTTAAATGCAGCAATGCAGCATGTCATGGTTTTTCACTGCTTGCTTTATACAGGAAAAAATGGAAGATGGATGTTAAATATGCCCAATCCTGTTGTTGGGCTTGGTAGGGAGCACTGTAAGCACAAGAGGAGATAGCACTGTGAAATGGCATGTGAACACACATGAACTGCCATGGACTGCTAATGACTCAATCACAAGGATTTCTTCAAAACAGGCAATTCCCATACAAGAATTTCAAGGTTTTAAGAGCTCTGGTTTTCTGTTTGCAGAGGCATGTTTCCAGGCTTCAAAACAGATTCAGATCTGAAACTGTATGTGGGAATGAGCAGAGAAGCCAAAACCACAATCACAGCTAATGACTATTGGCTTTCTGGAATTAAAAATGAAATATCCTTTGGGATCCTACATGAAAACCACACTTTGACAGTCCTGGCTTAGTAGCAATTCTCCCGTGCAGAGGCTTTTGTCTTTGAATGGCAAATTTTACCAGAAGGATGCAGAACAAAATTTATCTGCCACCCTACCACTTTATCACTATTTCCTTTTTGCCCCAAGTTCATGATCTCTATGAATTGCATCACAGAAAAGCCTGTGTGATGGGAAGCTTCAAGCAGATGGAAAAATCTGACACAAGATCTGTAAAAACTGTTCTGGGGAAATGACTGTGGACTCTCTTTACTTTGGCCTCCTGATTTTTGTACAAGAAACTGGCCACAAAGAGATTAATGAACAGCTAGGGGGGGTCCTCACATCACCTTCCCTTTGCCTTGTACATGCAATACAAAATAGATCTCCCTCTCTCTTCAGAGAGGTTGGATTTGTTCTGCACAGAAACTCAAGACAGCAGACGTGGCTACTTGCAGCTACATGAAGAAACACAAGAATGTAAATTCTTACCCAGAGGAACCAAAGATCATCTGTTTTATAGGGAGTAAAAAGTTGAAAGAAAGTTCCAGCTAGAGTATATGATTTCTGTAACCATTTCAGCAACTCTAACCTCCCCACCTCATCATCTCAAGATAGAAAATTCTGAGAACCTTTCTATTTCTGAAGACAATGCCAGGAAAATGAGAACCTTTTCCCTATCACCAAAAGTAAGTGCTGTTGGAAAAATGTTGAGTCTGACAACCTACCACATAATTGACATGACAACATCAATCTCGATAGTAAGTTTCATTTAACTTTGTAAAGGTGTCCAACAAAATAAGTCTGCAACCTAATATGAAAGGCAGCAGATGCAACTACTTATTTAGAAAGCGCTGAGAATGTTTTACATTCCTCACATTGACATAGAAAAATGTCCCCAGAGAGCCCACATTGTTTTCATTAATTTCCCTCATCATAACACAAGTAAGACAATACTTAGCATCTGTGCTGCAGTTCTAGATATGTTACCTTTACATAAGCTTATGAAAAACAAAGACTGTATACTTTTATACAGTCAGTGTACTCTAATTCGGGGAGCTAGATGGGTTATTTGCAAACACTATCAATATATTCATGGTGATACAGATACCAATTTTCAGTTCTCACACAGATCTCTCTGATTTTAAATTTCCTTATACAACAAAAAGTCTCTAAGAGGATGAGGATGGTGATACAAACTGGTTTTGATTGCTTCTCCAATTTGCGAGTAAAACTAGCATCTATCCATCATTCATTAAAAATGTTTCCATTGATCAAGATCAGGTGTAGAATGTCTAGGTTAACCTAGACATTTCTTACTGTCAACTGTAGGAGAAAAGTTATTGAACTGCAAGCTTTTGGTTTAAACCTCTACATTTGTACTCTTCACATAGGTGGGTGGTGAGAAGAGAAAAAGAGGTTGGCCAGATAGGCTGGGACTGACACCAGCACCTACTGAACAGTGACGACGTGCCAGAGAAGTCAGACTGAAATCTAAATCTACTAATGGCTATTTGAAAAAAATTCACTCTAGGGAACTAATGACATAAGAACCATGGATTTATTAGCTGGGAAATGGCATTCCTCTTCCAGTGGTGAAACATGAACTTTGATCCATTTATGATTCTTACACATCTCACTGGTGTTCCCAGGGTAAAAAAAATGCATTCTACATCCTGTCTATGTGCAAACTAATGGCTATTGGCTAAAACTTGTCATCCTGTGCAGGAAATGCTCAGATCTGTAGTTTGGATGGAAATTCCACAACCTCAAGCTTCCATACGCTGTTTATCAAGGAAGATAAAAAAAATAACTCCTCTAATCCCAAGAATGCACTAATACCAATGGAAGAAATCTTTAATATCAGTATCCCACTAGAAAGTGAGGGAATTTGCTCTAAAATAGGTTTCTGGGCTAATTCCCATGCTAATTCCCATTCCTTCCTCAGGCAAGGAAAAACCCACCCCTGCAGAGTAATTTCAGATGTCCTCTGAATGCTGAAGTCTGTAAAGGTTCAAAGACAGTCCTTTCTCATCCAGAAGCCTGAAACGTATTCATCATGGGGTAGCAGCACCATGCTGACTCACAGGGGCTACTGATCAATGGGGAGAAACAGACAACTGTCATGCCTTTCACAGAAAGATCCAGCTGGATAATCTCGAAATGTGGTGAAAGTTACTTACTTATTTTCAAGAGATGCCTCATTTTATGACTACTAAATCCATAAGCAAACTCATTTCTGTTCTGGATTAGAGAAATGCTGAGTTTCTCATGCCTCCTAGCTGCTGCTGAGTCTTATCTTTGATTGAAGTAATTAAAGGCCCACAAACAGCTAAGCCGCCTTGAAATCACGGCACGAATTTTAACTAACAATCTGCAAGCTCAGAACATCATGACCCCAGTATGATCCAAAGGCAGCACACCTGCACAGGAAAACTGACCACCACTACTTTTCAAAAAGAAAACCTGAGAAATAAACCTGAAAATGTGCCAGATACACACCTTGCTTGAACTGGATTAACTGAAGACAATAATACTATTAAAAATAATATTAATTTTCAACAGCAAAGAATTGGCCTTTTTTTCCTTTTTTTTTTTTTTTCCTTTTTTTTCCTTTCTCTTTCCCTTTTTGGTGTTTTTTTGATCTTAACTAGAAAAACAGGGAACCTTCAGCCAATCAAACAATAGAGGAAATTTCAAAATGAGCAATCATTATTAACAGAATGGATTTTCAACAATCAATCTGGATTACAAGCACAAGTCCTATTAAAAAATGTGGAAAACCAGCATCCAGATAGCTTCCAGTGTCTGCTGGAATTCCTCAGAATAAGTTTTCAATAGATGAACTTTTTAGAGAAGTTCAGGGCTTCTACTGAAAATCAGTTTGGCTGATAATTTAGAGGGAAAAGAAGACCCATTGAAAAGAACTTTTCTCTTTGTCCACACATTGATCTTCTGCACTTTGTTTACATTGTCCTGGAAGGACTGGACATACAACACTGTAGGACAAATACTGAACATTATTTTAATATAAGAAGACAGTTCTCATCTAAAGCTTTAGCATAAAAACTGGATAAAGTGATTTACCAAAGTGGGGTTTTTATTCTGTAAATATTGATTTTTTTTGTTGCCAAAAAGTCAAGAAATGCGTTCTTCCCACTTGTGTAACAATAAGGTTTGATAGGTAGAATGTATGAAATATACAGTAACTTCTTCTGAAAAGCTATCTAAGTTCACTCAGCTTACAGTATGTGGAATGTAATTATCCAGAAAGTGAAATATGTATAAAAATAGGTAAAATTCCTACAATATTTGTACTGAGTCATAATTCCTCCTGCCAGGAAGGTTACAATAGCTCTACAGTATATGTATGAAATGCTTGTTCATAAAGTTAAAAAACATCATTACCTTACTGAAGAACACATTAAATATAGGAATGCATAATCAGAACTGACTCTCAATTCTGCTTAGCTGGTGCAAATCTACAGAGAACCATCATCCTTTCTGCACAAAACAAGACCAACCTCTAATTTGAGAGTTGGGGTTTTGTTTTGTTGTTTTGTTTGCCATAGAGGGGCCAGACTTAAGTTTGTGAAAGAAATTCCTCTGGAAGTGGAAGTACATTGTTTAATATTTTTTCCTTATCTCCACTTTGCTTACTGACAGCAGTTACCCACCTTTTAAAATGATTATTGCCTGACATTACATGGAACTTTTTACTGCCTGTTCAGAAGAAGGCAGTGAGACACAAAGAACCTCCAGCTCCCCTGTCATGACCCAGTTCTGGGCTTGTGCTTTTTTGACGAGTCTTTGATCTGCAGCAGGCCTCATAGGCTAGTCTCCCGGAGGAACATGGTGCCGATGTTGTAAGACACCTTTCTCACTCTGGCAGATGTGATGGAAGGTTTTGGTGGCTTCTGACCACTTCTGACCTCCAGGAAGTAACAGATCCCAGGAATTTCCTTTGGAAAGTTTTCTGGAAGCTCTTCACGGGAACGAGGGATAAAAATAAAATTTTCTTCCTTTTTCAAAAGCCTGGAGAAAAACAAAACAGAAGGATATAAAACATTGGAAAACATATTCCAGAAATGCCTCTTTGGAAGAGGTGGATCCTATGTGCAACCAAGTGAAAAGTGAGTTTACACTATTATGTAACATATAAAGAAATCAGGATCCTCAGCTGATATATATGAACTTATCTTCATTAACTTCAAGGAGCTCTGTTAACTGAGATCAGCTGAAGGGATGGCTCAAAAAAAACATTCTCTCAAAATCAGTGTCAGCATTCAGAAAGTAATGTACCAGAAAGAGAAACAAATTCATAATGATAGTTATCCAGAACATATCATTTGGGTTAATTAAAACACTTTAGTTTGGTCAGTTGGGCAGAAATTAACATTTCAGAGTGATGGCTACCAGCAGGTTTCCCACTGGAAGGCAGGTATGAAGGTGACAGTGCCTGGGAGCTCTCACAGATAAAAGCAGGGAGGTCAGTTTGTGCCCCTCTCACACTCAGTATTGGGTTCAAATACAGCTAATCCAACTACAACAGCGAAATCAGATCTGACACTATTCATCAACAGTACCCATGGGTTTAATCTAGACTATTTGGTTGGGTCAAAAAGGGATCCATGAAGCCGTCTCCTGGCATGCCTGCTCAGCTGCTACAACACCACAGACCCGACTCTGCTGCCTTCTGCCATTTGCCATCTTAGCCATGGCGGAGAAATCTCTGAAAATTTAGGGCATCTTTATCAAGTATCTTCCCTAGAACTATCTGGACTTGCAAAATAAAGGAAGTAACTCTACATTTTCTTTTTGTTTCCAATAAATAAAATAAATTAAGTTAGTGGTATTCAATCTCTTGCAGCATTGAAAAGAGCAGTTTTGAGACAATGGTAAATTCTGAGCACAGCTGGATATACAAAAGCATTCATCCTCTTTTCCCTCCAATGATATTTATTCTTTCTCTCAATCAGTTTGAAGCTCAAAAACATAATTGGGAAGAACTTTATAAGTTTCCACAGAATTTTGTAATAGGTAGATTATTTAATGTCTGTAAAGCTGATTTCTGGAAAGCAGATGAATGAATGAACCCCATTGCCAGGAAAATTTTGCAGGACTATCAGTATAAGCAATGGCACTTCCTTTGCTGAGTATTTTTCAGGAGTTTTGTATGAGACAGTCTGTGTGAGTTCATTGACATATAAAGGCATTTTCCTTCCAGCTTTTAAACAATCGCTGGGTTATAAATCCAACAAAGTTTCTGCCTTTGAACTTCCGTGGAGAACTTTATTTAGCATGTGCTTCGAAGGTCCAGACTGTCAACTTTATGATCAAAATACTGCAATCTTTTCTAAATTGCATGAATGTTTGTGGAGGACTCTACAGAGAAGCTTCTCTCTTTTCATCTCTTCAGTGTTTGCAGTAAATATTTTGTATGTCCAAACTACAGATTTAATATACTGAAATAACTCTTCACAGCTTCCCAAATGAGATTTCTGCATGTAGCAGCTGAGATCTTAGAGCTCTTTCCAAGCTAAATCTGTAAGCTTTCACTGTAGCCACTCTTCCCCACACTGACTATTCACTATGGAGCAACCAGACTTCCTAAAAATCAGTGGTTTCCTCATCAGAGTCTAACATCATGCAATTTTAGTGACAGTTACACAAATCCAAAACTGCAAAATATATCTATATTATTTTATTAATTTCAGGGCTGGCACTAAGATTAGTTGATATTTTATACTATTTCCTAATTTTAAAAAAGTGCAAGATATTAATTACCTATCTTATTTTCCCTTGTTTTGTGAATTGTAACTTGGTTGCAATTAAATGTTCCAGGACTGAGACAATTAGTCTCTTGAAGACTCCTCTACTGCTGTGGCTTGTGATAGACTCCACATGCCTGTATTCGATGCATGCTTGAATCAGCCTCTAACCCTCAAAAATTGTCCAGATGACCTTCATTGGGATAACACTTCAGCTCTCAAGCAAACATGGCAGGAAACCTTTGTTACCAAGTAAGTGTTAATAGAAGTTACTTATGCTTACATTCTGTCCAAATTACTTTACATTTCTAAGGGGAAAACAAAAATTAAAAAAAAAAAAAATTCTGGCTTATAGAATACTATTATTAAAAAGATTTTCATCATGATGGAAATGACCTCTTGTTAGCTTTCTCCTAAAGAACAGGTTCTTCAAATTCCTTAAATAGTATGTTGGTCCTGTCACTTGGCTTCCCAGTCTGAGAATGAGATCATAATTCAGAAATTGACTCTGATTTCTTACATCTTTGTGTATATACTAAAGAAACAAGTCATCTGCAAATTCCCAGTGCATATCAGTGATGACATTTTTCTGCAAAATCTTGACTCTTACTTTTAGGCCACTTGTGATGTTAAAAAGGTATCAATAGCAGTTGATGGTCATGGCCATTTCTAAGTTTATTGAATTCCTTTTCTATGGGTACAAAGAGCCCCAAAAGGTCCTTGTGCTAAGCAGGTGAATGAATAGTGCACATCCTTAGGGATGTGCACTGAGCCACGCTGTGGTGGGCTGACCTTGGCTGGACACCAGGTGCTGACCAAGCCACTCTATCCCATACAATCCATTTTTTGCACTTCCTCTCTTCCTTCTCCTTCTTCTCAGGAGAAGATTCAGTGTAAAACCTTCTGCCCTGGAACATTTCCTGGGTGGTGGCACCCAGTTCTGGTTGGCTGCCTCACCTCGTGGACCATTCTCAGGGCACTCCTTTGTGAACAAGTCAGACTTCCAGTTGTGAAAGCCTGAGACAACAATCTACCCTGAGAGCACAATCTTATCCTTCACTGTCAGGAAATTATGTTGCAGCTTAAACTGTATAAAAAATGTTCCCAGATTGTCCCATATTTAGAAGGCTTAAGCTGAAGTTACACAACCTCCGCAGTTCAGGAATATTCATATAAAAACTAGTCTGAAAATATCCCAAAGCATTTATCTTAGCTGTATTTTCTGAATCACTTCTGTGAATTTCCCTTCAGGGCACTATTGAAAGGGTATTTTTATAGTAGGTTTTTCACAGGTTAAGAATTCTGGGTTTCACTCAAATAGTTGGATATACAATTTACAGTTCAGAGCTTGAATTGTGAGGGTCAGGGTACTCAAGCATTCCTATAAATTGCCTGGAATTAGTTCTGCACTCAGCTTGTCCTCTTTGTTCATGTTTCAGGGTAGGAAGAATTCCTTGAACACTGATTTGCAGTTGATTAACTTTGACACCTTCTCTTCCTAACCTGAAATCTTTCAAAGCTTTTAAAATTCTTGTTCTGTCCCTTCCTTGGTGGGAATGTTCTTGCTTTCTAACAAAAAGAGATAGTATATGAGAATTATCCTATTATTTTATTTTTCTTTTCCATTCCTTCATTTAAGAAAAAAATTCAGGAGGTCTGTGAGGCTGCCCCAGGCTCACTCCTGCTGCTAAGCAACAAACATCACACCTTGTACTTATCATTTTAGACTCTGATTCTTACTTAGGCAGATTACAGGCTTGAAGGGAAGTGTCTGTAACCAATAATAAATATTCTTAAGTGTGATTATTATTTGAATGCTGATGACACTTTATGATGCATAATCTTTACTGTAAAATGAAAGCTATTAAGTATTGGACACGTTTCCAGTACCTGCATGCTTTATAAAACTTGTATCACAACTTCCATCAGGGGCCATTGTAGACACAAACTTGTGATGATAAATGCCAGTAGTCTCATATAATCGAAAATTCTGTTGTTTTCATACTGACTGCAAAATTATCTACTTTGGAAAACATTGAGATAAGAGAAATATTAACAGCAGTATTAACAAAGTGCACAGCAGCACAGGGTGATCAAATAGAAGCACTGAATAGAATATAAAGTCAAATACATTTCAGTTTTGATGAATCACTTTATTTATACACAATAAATACATACTCATACGAATTATATTTAAGAATAGTTACATATGGATGTGTCAGATCACTACTTTTTGATTCGGACGCCGCCAGGTAAATGTGTTAAATGTCAAAAATCCCCTTCAGAAACTCTGAATAATTCTGCCCCTTTGAGTACTCTGTAATTCCAGTCTCTTCTGGCCACTGTGTCAACAGTGTCATTTCTTGACTTCTTCCCTGTTAGTTTTCAAGCTTTCAACTATGCCAGAAGGCATGGTCTGAAATCAACTTTTCAAGTTGCCCCATGCACATTCATTTTACCTTTTAACATCATTTCCCAAGCCTGTAATATAAAATTTTTCCTAGCCTGATCCTCACTGCTTTTATCCACTCATCCTGAATGATAACTGCATCTTATTCAAACATGTATTTTCTTGCCATTTCTACTTATTTTACCTAAAACCATGTGTCTAGCCTGTTACTTTCACTGCAAGGTCTCTGAATCAAGCACTGAATTTGTTCAGCACGTTAACAGCAGATTGTTTACTGAGTACAATAATACAGATAAAAAATACCAATAATTCTGCATTTTGTTGTGTATTGTTTTGTAATTTTGTGTTACAGCATTACTACATAATCAGTCGCTTTTTCCACCTTCATCCCTTTTTGAAGCAACAGTCTACACTAATAACTTTCTGCAAGGTAAGTACAGGACATGAAGGTCATATAAGGTGAAAGTTCAGCTGTCTTGAAAAAAATGGTCCTATTCATACTGGAGTTCTAGGATTAAAGGGAAGCAAAACCACCTGTAGACTTGTTTTTGATACAAACTGAAAGATATGTAGGGTGAGAAGATCTGACTCTGACGTTTTGGTACACAGGACTTAGTAAGAATGCTCTCCAAGGTGACTCACATTTGACCTGCCATGGTACAACATGCCCAGTGGCAGCCAGGCAGAGAGGAGACACAGGTAAAGAGAAGCCATCTTCTCTGTGCCACAATGCACTAGGAGTCAGAAAAAGGGCAGCACAAACCCACAGATTGCTAAAAAGCTCCATACACAGGCCCTCAGTCTTTTTATCAGCATTGTGATGAAAAGAAAATACAGTCACAGAACCACAGAATCAATGGGGCTGGAGGTGACCTTTAAAGCCCTTCTAGTCCAACCCACATGCAATGAACAGAAACCTCTTCAGCTAGATCAGGTTGTTCAAGGATGACCACAAATTTGTGTCTCATAGAGGAGGCACCGTATCACTCAGAACCAAATTCAACACAACTAGCACTGTACTCTAGCACACGGAAAGTGACTCTGGCCCCAGCATGAAGGGAGTTTTGTGCACCACAGGTCCCAAAGATACTAGAGAGTTCTAGCTGTATTTCCATAAAGCTGCCTAGCTCACCAGTTTCTGCTCTCAGGAACACAAACATGAGGAAGCAACACCAAAGCCCCAAGTGAAATCACTGAAATTTTTGCACTGCACATTTGTGAAGCGCTAAGATCTCTCTTCTGAAAAAGTAGGGACTGCGCTTTCAGAATAGCTTGAAGAATATCTGAGTTTGGAGAACAGCACTTTATAAGAACTGATCCTGTTCAAGAAAAGTCCAGCTCCACAGGGCCTTGGTCACCTTTTGCCAGACCACAAACCACACACCAAAGACCCTGCTACTGTGTAATTTTTGTAACTGGAGTACAAACAGCAAGCAAAATTATGGTGACTATTCAAACAAGGTTTTAGAGGGTTCCTCCTATCTCACAGTGGATTACCAACAGCTAAGCCTGTAGAATGCTGTGTATGGAAGGTCCCAAAACAAATTTTAAATGATACCAAATTCCAAACAGAAATTTCCTATATATTTATTGAATTTATTTTTATTTAAATTAAAATGTTTTCTGCAAACAATAATAGATTAGATTTCAATAGATTTGGAGAATAATAAGATTGTCTTTCTCTTCCATGTTACCAGACAACTGTATGAATCTATTTCTGTTCACTTCATGATACAAAGCTTATTCAGTTATTCTATCTCTTGTTCAATTTGTTACACTCGCTTCATTCTCAAAATATGATCTCAAGTGACCAGGCTTTCCAGAAGAATGTCACTTTATGCACTAGTTTAATTACTTCTAATTTCTGACTGATTCATATTTTAGCATAGCAGACACTTCAATACTTGGATAAAGAAATCCCATTTAAAATTTTTATTTACATAGATAGCTATGGGGGAAAATAACTGAGATTCACAGTTCTGAATAGGAAAAAAAAAAATCAATATTGTTTGAGAAACTGTGTACAGATTTGCCACACAGTCTCAAAACCTTCAGAAAATTACTTCAGATTTAGAACACTGGAAGATTGAGATATATTGCTAGAAAAAAAGTGAGTGCATCAGCTGTAATCTAAGCAGTAGAAATTCTAATAGTCAAACTGTCAAATTTGAACAATAAGGAACACCTTTTTTACTTAGGAGTTGTTCCTCATAACCAGATTCAATCAAGCCTTCTCTCCATTTGCATAATTTCTTCAAAGCTCTAGTGATAATGCTTTGCCATTTTCAATCTTTTTTCCTATGTTATGAGAATGCTTCTATCAAGTGTGTCTTTACAGAGCTAAATAAGCAATTCTGTCTTCAAGAAAGCATTAAATCTCTCTGTAAGCTTGGCCTTACCAGAAAAATTAGACTTCCTTCTGAGAGAATGGGAGTATGTTTTCTTTCAGGAATTGTATTTAGCAGGCAGAACCCAAATCCTCAGTCAAAAGCTGTAACAGTGCATAAAACTACGCCGCATTGTGAGATATCTCCCACTTCTTCTGTTACATATTTGTTTAGGCAGGAATGGCTGGCTTTTCTGTTCTTTTCGCCTTGCCTCCAATGCCTGACTTCTTTGCTCGTTCTGATACAAACCTGCAAACGAAAGACAGACATCCCCCAAGCAATACCTCTTTCCAGCTGTCCTGAAGCCCTACCAACTTTCTGTTGCACTTCACGTGTTGAGGACAGAGCATGTCATAAGATGGAATTGAAAACAGGCTAAAATAGAAACAAGGGGAAAGGGTTAAGAGCACTTACTGGTACGTGGTGGGACTGACGTTGATGCGGCGCGGGTGACTTCCTGACTCAAACTTGCTCGCAAGGGTGACGTTGTTCCCAAAGAGACAGTAGCGTGGCATTCTCACACCAACGACGCCGGCCAGCACCGAACCTGAGTGAATGCCTATCCTCATCTGGAAAAAAAACACGAGACCCATGTCAGCCTGCCTCTCTCGCACCACCCATGGTAATGTCATTAGCCCTCGTTTAAAAGCAGCCCTTTCTAATAAAGAATAAACCAAAGAAGAAAGAGTGAAGTGGAAGAAAACAGGCTCTTCTATTCCTCTAACTTAAATCAGATGCAGTTAAAAGAAAGAAGAACAAAAACATTATTATCTTTTCACTAAAACTATTTTCTTCTGTGCACATTTGCTGGAGACTGTGATAGTCAAAACAGAAATCATGAACAGAATAGGATGGGATCATCCAGAGTTACTGCAATATCAGCCATCTAAATTCACAAATAAATACATTACAGAGATTATTTTTGCCACCACTTCTAACACTGGCTTTAAAGTAATACCCAATTTTTATCTAACTGTCAGGAAGAGTAGTTAAGTGGAGTGAATGTATAAGTTACTTTTATCTCCTTCGTATTTTTCTTCCAAACTCTTCAAGGTCTAAGGTCTTTCTCCCTTTGTCAGACAGAGAGATACTGCAGTGCTGAGAATGCTGAAGACTGAGGCACCAATGATTTTAAAGGTAATTGTATCCCCTTCATAATAAGGAGGAATAAATCCCCAGAAAATTGAAAAACCTATGTGACTTTCAGCAATCATCCCCTGTAACTGTCTGAGATATGGCATTGGCATAGACCTGTAAAGCTCAGTCACCATCCAAGTTTCTTTCAGAGTGAGTAATCAGAGATTTATTCTGCATACATTTTAGCTAACAATTGTGTCTGCTAAGAAAATAGTTTTTACAAATAGGCAAGTCTTTTTCTCTTGTTAACTTTTTAACAGTAAAAAATTAAAAAGAAGGTATTTGTATCTTCTGATATACTCTTGCTCATAGCAACTGGACTGCTGCAAAATGTAAGGTGAAGGAAATAAATAGCAGGTACTAAGAGGTTCTGATGGGGTATGAATGAGTGACTTACCTAACAACTGTACTCAATATGGTCCTTTGACTTAATTCACAGTTATTCCACTGTGCTTATTATTATATATTTCTATTTTGTTAAATTACAAAATACATATGGACTCAAATACAAATAAAAAATCATTGTTACCCCTTTTTTATCCAAAGAAAATGCCGGTATTTGATAACATTGTTTGGCGTCTATGAAGTTCTACAAACATGTGAGACCCCACATTATTTCACTGATTATGGTTCTTCCCACATGCCCAAGACTTCCACCATGCACTCTTTTGTTCCCCTCTTATATATCACAGACAATAAGTTTACAGTTATATCTGCTATACAGTAAGCTCCTGCATAACCTAAGGACATGCTCTGCATTCAATGTGATACTAATTAAAACATTCTCACAGGCAGCCTAAAACCCTCAATCTTCACAAAAATGCTGTTAATTACAGACTAGGTTGTTTGGTTTATTTGACTGGGGTTTTTTTTTGTTTGTTTGGTTTTTTTGTTAGTTTTTTTTTTGTTTGTTTTGTTTTTTGGTTTTTTTTTTTAATCTGTGAATAAGTATCACTCACTTTAATAGAACTTTCAAACCTTTGCTATGGTTTGGAAGGCAGCCACTGAAATTTTTCAAATACTCTCTTCCATAGGGCTGGGAAGCATCCATGAACTCGGTTTGCCTGCTAACATCTGTGCTAACTCATAACATTTGGGTTATTTTTGGTCATCTTCTGGAGCAACAGCAATGCTTTAGCTACAACATACATTTAAACTCTACTGTCTATTGCCAGTGAAAAAAAGTGCTCCTGCAGTCATGAATTGGGTAAACAGCCCTTCTCCATATAGGTGAGGTCAGTACCTGCCCTCAGTCAAAGACTGAGCAGGAAGTCTTGCTCACAAAACAGCAAGCCTGCCATCAGCTTTCAGTAAATACCAAACAACCTATTTACAATGTCTTGTTTTTGTGAGATGGGAGGTGAATAGTGATTTTGAATACAATTTTAGGAACAGAGCTAATGAAACCTATTTGTTCCATTGCTACTCTGCACATTTATTTAAAAACCACAGATTAACTGTGTGCTGTGACCTCTTCCACAGTACACTGGAGTACACATGTAAAGGCCAGATTGAAACTGTAAGAAAATTATTAGCTTTGTTTTCCTCTAAAAACACAGAGATAAGAGTATACATTAGAGAGGATGGAAAACATGACAGCAAAAAAGATACTAAGAAAATAAAACTTGCTTTTGCAATATATGCAGTGAAAGCTGAAGTTTTTGTTGGTTGTTTTGTTACTTTCATTCTTTCCTTTTCATTGCTTCCTTTTACATGGCCACATTTTTTTTATCACTCAGTGCTTCAGTGACAGATGTGAGGGTTCTTCTGTACTATCTTAAGAGCTTTTTAAAAAACATGTGCTCCTACAATTATAAAGGCAGACATATTCTCACAAACACAGGTTAAACGACATAGAGTGTCAAAACCTGAAGTTTTCATTGGGTGGAAGAAAGTTGATGCAGGCTTTCTCAATAAACCTTAGAGACAAATGACATGAAGAATGCCTTACAATCCTCATCTGCTTTATGACATAGTTCTCTACAAGAAAAGCGCCTGCAAACACTGATGCTCTTGCCTTGAAGTATTCCTTTGTGTGCCTTATTATACTGAGAATAACCATTACATTGTTCCTATAGTACTTTTTTAGAGAAATAGGCCTTTACTTAAAAGTGTCTTTTCAATATTTAACTTCATTTGTAGGTATGTTGTTCTGGTCTTTTCCTCATCGAGTTGAAAACTGTTGTGTTAACAGCTTAAGGCTCATTTTTACAAAGGAAAAAAATGTGTGATCAGAATATTAATAAGAAGGCACTTATTGGGGCACATCAACCTTTCACATTATCTTTACAATAAAGAAAATCTGCCTAGACCACATAACTTAGAACAATAATAACAACAGTTACACAAATATAGTTATAGTTCCCAAGCTATATTGTACATGTACACCTTATCAGTGCTTTCTCAGAACAGTCACCATTAAATATTAACAACAGAATAGAAAGTGAAAATTGGGTGGCAACACTAGAGTTTTTTTTTTTTGGTCTATCATAACTCTGTATACCCCTTTTAATATATGTGTAGTACAAATTATACATTTATTAACTGTCTTAAATGGAGCATTTTTAAGAAAATGCATGCTCTTCACCTGTACCAACTGCTCCTTTGTATGTCCTTAATTATTCGGCTAAAGATAAAAGGGAAGTATGTAGCTGAACCCGAAAGTTCAGAGGCATTATGCACACAGATGGAAAGATAGGTCTTTGGAAACTGTCACAAAGAGAAGACGGCTGTGAAAAAAACAACCAGTTAATACCATTCCTCCAACAGGAAAGGAACAGTGAAGAGACCAACAAAAGACAAAGACATTTCTAAAGCATGACACTGGAAGGCAGAATGGCAAAATGAACTGGTGGGAAAAATACTGAGACACCTGTGAGAGATCTTTCAGATAGAGGGACAAATTCAACTGAGCGCAATGCAAAATGAGAAAAAAGAGATTAACAAGTCTGATCTTTGCAAGAGCTGTGGTAACAGTGAACTGGAGAAAAGCTGATGAGTCAGAGGTGTAAAAGAAAAGCAGCCTGCATTGATCAATGTAATGTGATAGAAAAGACATGGCTATGTGCAAAGCAAAAGAAGCTTCCAAAACTTGTATAGCGAAAGTAGCAGTATTTCGATATTTCTTACTGGATAAGGCTCAAAGAACAGAAATGTCTAATACCTGAGTGACAGGAAGGATAGTGATTTTGTTTAATAGTGATAAAGAAGATTCATAAGGAAAGATGAGGAGCACTGGTCATCATCTAATGGGGAAGTGTGCCAGAAGTGGTATCAATGAGAACTGACAGTCCAGACTAGACTGCAAGAAGAAAGTCAAAAACAAACAGGAACAAGGATGAACAACACAAAAATATTGGTTCTTTTTCTGAACTGAACATCTGTTACTGAATTTTTCTGGTGTCCCAAATCTTAGAAAAATTGTATGTTACTTCTTTACACCTCCTCATTTCCAAAGCATGATTTTCCTTTTTCTTCTTCTAGAAGAAGCTGGGGTTTTCACTTTGTTTAGTTTTGTTTCTTTTTTATCTGCTGTGCAATTTCAATTACTTGCAATAGACTGAATGCCTTCTTAGGCACCATACTGAAAACTGCACTCTTACATCAAAATAAAGTCTATTCCAACTGAGATGAGAGTAAATGCAACACTAAAATTCACAACCCATATACAACTGACTTATGGGGAAGATGCAAAGAATATTTTAATAATACTAAACAAATGCAGTGGCATGCCTGAAGTAAATTTCATCACTGCTAATTTGTTTCTTAATAGCTTTTTCTGTCAATCAGTACTACCACAATAAAAAAAAAAATCCAATAATTTTCATTATGGTCAAAGCTCTTGAGTTTTTTCTCTTTTGAAACCTTGTTGAAAAATGTATTGTCCTTCCTCTTTCCTTATATCTCCACATAATTTTCAAGGCAAAAATTAAAACACAAGTGGAAAGACAGTCTGAGAAGTAGCACTTGTCTACTCAAGAATGTTTTTTAAAACATCCTCTAATATAAAATTTTTAATTTTAATTTAATTAAAATCCTCTAATCTAAATTTTTTTGATCAATATATGTTTTCATGTTGATAACCAATAGAATACATTAACCTTATTTCCTCTTTCAGTCAAAACTGAGACATTGCATTAGCAGATTTAAAAATAATTCCTTTATTAATTAGACCACAGAAAAATGGTTCAAGCTGTAATAAACCCTGAAAGGAAAATTAACTGGGTATTAAATTATTCCTCAAGCTTCTTATGTACATCGAGCTGTGCAAAAATATTTGCAGTCTTGGTTATGGGCTTACGAATCTACTTTAAAAGCGTAATTCATGCTTTATTTAGAAGAAAAGAGACTCATAGGCAACAGCATAGAGAACTGCATAAGGGTATGACTGTGAAGAATGACTTCTGAGTTGAAAAGAAAAGGACTGCAAATA